GGGGATTTCTATGGATGTCCACCATGCCCCGCTGAAGGCAGGGGAGGGGATGTTTCCTGAAGGCCTCTCTGCCCGTGCACGCCACACTGCCATTTCTACTGCACTGATGCTCTGCGGGCCCAGAGCAAGATGGTCTCCTCCTAGAATTCCAAGTGGGAAGCAAAATACCAGCCGCCTACTCTGCGGTTCCCAAAACTAACTAAGCCTCTTAACTCTGCCCTCCCTCACCCAACACAACACGAGGCTTTGTCTCCAAAGGGTAAGAGGGTGTAGGGAGCAGGTCTCGACTTGGGTCTAAACGCTTGGTCACCACAAACCTTTCCTACCAGGTTCTTCCTGATGCCTGCTGCTCATTCCTCCACCCACCCCAGCCCAGCTCCCAGAGGGGCTTTTCCTTTCCACTTTCATATTCTCTCCTTACTACTCTGTGGATTTTAGTAAAACTGTGTGCTCTCACTCCCTAGACTCTGATTCTTGGTATTTGTTAGGGTGACTTTTAAAACTTAGATAAATCTTTCTGAACAAACCCTGATTCTAACCTTCACCAGTATTCCTCTGAAATGAGTTTTAGGAACCAGTTTCTGGAAGTTGAAAGATGAATGTTCTTTCCTTACTCTCAGCTAGTTCTGTCATCCCCCTGGTACAGTGGATGACTCCACCTCCAGGAAGGAGGGGCCCAAGGCAGCCAGGTTTACCAGGACTGGAAAAATGCATCAGAGAACTCTCAGCTTCCGGGCAGGTGTGGGTATGTTGGGGAGGGGGGTGGTGTCAGGCTGCCTTCCTGGGATCAACTCTCCCACTAAAAACAAAAATAAATGGTAGGTAGAACATTTTTCAGATCTCACTGTTCAAGCCAAAAAGTGGGGATGTCTCAGGCCAGCTGAGAGACAAACATCTGTAACTAGGGAGGTAAGTAAGCAGGCTCTTAGAACATCAGAACCACTGATGGCCCCGTGGGCACTTGCCAGTACTGCTCACTTAAGCTTTGAATCAGTGGCCATACAAGCCAACAAAGAAACAAGTCAAAGGCTTGGTACTATGGCAAGCCGAAGAAGAAAAAGGCAAGGATGAAATACCAATAGGAAGAAATGGCCACACATCAGCCTTTGCTCAGATTTGCAGCCCCTTGCCTGAATTAGTCAAAGAAGCTTAAGTCGACAACTTCATTTAAGGTCATCCATGACTTTTAATAACTCCAGGGACCTGGGAAACAGAAACATGAAGCTTCTCTGGAGGAGGACATATCTATCTGATGCCCGGGGGAGCCCCCCAACAAATGATTAGTCAGGGGCCTTGACCCGCAAGTAGTCAAAAATCACATAAAAATCACACCGTCATTTCAAGAGTTGGCAGAGAAAACGTTTGAATTCCTTTATGACAAAAGCTCTTAAACGGGGAATAGCCAGGAATGTGTCTTAAAGTAACCTATTTGTCAGGATAGACCAGGTTAGTCTACCATAACAAATGCCCCAATTTTAAGAGCTTAGCACATTAAAGAACATTTCTCTCTCATCAGATAAACCCCATGTAGATCCTGAAGAGCTACAGGGCAATTCCCTGCCCAGCTGTGTCTCAGGAATCCTAGTAGGCCCCACCCATGGCTTTGCCTCCTTAATTATAGCTTTCAGACTCACTATAGAAGAGTAGGAGGGTCAGCGAGAGTTTTTATGGCCAAGTCTAGATGGGCCGTACATCACTTTCACCCACATCCCGTTGACTACAGCTCAGTGAGATCACATAAACCTAATTTCAAGAAGAACAGATATATTAGCTTCCAGTGTGCCCAGAAAGCGGGGGTGGGGGAGGAGTTTTAATGGACACAGGGCATAGTCTCTGCCACAACTGCCAAAGGCTAGCTACAGAAAACTTGCAGCAGACATCGTATGTACTAGTGACACTCAAGAGCTTTTCCTCTGATAGTTGCAATAAGGCCAGGAGGCCTGCTAACACCACCTCTATTCGGCATCATGCTAGAGGTCTTCAATGGTGCAACAAGAAAAACAAATAAAAGGCAGAGGGACTGAAAATACAGCAAATTTGTCAGTATTTTCAGATGGTATATTTTGGACACAGAAGATTCAAAAGACTACAGATACTAGAATAAGAGAGTTTAGCAAGGTTACTAGATATGCATCCAGGGTGCCTAAATCATATCTCTATATATTAGCAACAAACAGGATAAAAAGTATTTTTTAAATGCCACTTATAGGAGGAATGGGAATAAGTCTTAGAAAAGATGTTTAGGCTCTCTATAAGAAAACTGTAAAACTTTATTTAGGAATATTTAAGAAGATCTAAACAAATGGAAAGATATACCATGCTTGTGGATTGGAAGGCTAAAAATTGTAAAGACATGAGTTCTCCGTAAATTAAATTACAAATTCAGTTCAATTCCTATCCGAATTTCAGCAGGTTTTTTTGGGGGTGGGGCAGGGGCAAGGAGAGGTGTTTCATTTGTGGAATTTGACAAGCTCATTCCAAAATTTATATGGAGGGACGCCTGGGTGGCTCAGTCGGTTAAGCGTCTGCCTTCGGCTCAGGTCATGATCCCAGGGTCCTGGGATCGAGTCCCGCATCGGGCTCCCTGCTCCGCGGGGAGCCTGCTTCTCCCTCTGCCTCTGTCTCTCTCTCTGTCTCTCATGAATAAATAAATAAAATCTTTAAAAAAAATAAATAAATAAAAAATAAAATAAATAAATAAAATTTATATGGAAAATACAAAAAGTCAAGAATTGCCAAGACACTCTTGAAGAAGAGCCAGGTGGGAGGATTTGCTTAACCAGATATCAAGATGTGTAATAAAGCTATATTGAGCCAAGCAGTGTGATGTTGCACAGGGCCAGGCAAATAGAGCAAAGAACAGAACAGCAGAGAAGCAGGCCCCTTAAACAGGTGAACACTTGACGTTCAACACACGGGTGGCAGAGCACAGCAGCAGGGTGGACGGGGGCTTTTTGGCAAACATTGCTGGAATAATTGACTATCCAAATGAAAAATAACTTAATAGGATTCACATCGTGCACAAAGACCCAAATGTGAAAAAACAAAACTATAAACCTTTTATGAGATAATGTAGGAAGATGTCTTCATAACACAAATTCACTGGCCGTAAAGGAAAAAACTAACAACCCAACCCAACTACATTAAAATTAAGAAGTTTCGTTTTCCTTTTTTTTTTCCATTTTCAAAGGATTCCATAAAAAAAGAATAAGGCAAGCCATAAAACAAGAGGGTATTTATGACTCATAGAACCAACCAACAAAAGGCTAGCATGTAGAATATGTAAGGAACTCTACGAATCAATGATAAAAAAGCAGACAACCCAAAATATGGGGAAAAGATTTGAACAGGCACTTCACAAAAAATTTAAGCCTGAATGCTTAATAATATATGTGAATAAATGCTCAGCCTCACTAGTAGGCAGGAAAATGAACTTTAAAACAACAATGAGATATAATTTCACATCTCTCAGATTGAGAAGACCCTGACCATAACCTCGTGTGGCATGGCCTGGAGCAAATAAAACTCTCCTACACGGCTGGTTGGAGGGTAAAGAGCTGCAACCATTTTGGAAAACGGTCCGGCATTATCTAGTAAAGGTGCAGACACACCTGCCCTATGACTCAGCAGGTCCAGTCTTGGATGTGTGTCCTAAGAAATGCATGCCGGCGTGTGCGTGCACAGGAGACTTACGGAAGGCTGTCCATAGCAGCGCAGTTTGTAATTGTCCAAAACCAGACTCAAACCAAGTCCATCAACAGTAAAAGAGATCAATTATTTAGTATATAATCTTGCAATGGAAGGTTATGCAGCAATAAAACTGGTTGGATTACATGAATTTTATTTATGTAAAGTGAAAAAGGCTGAACAAAAGAATATATTCAGTCTGATTCCGTTTATAAAAGTTTCAGAAGGCAAATGAATCTTTTTTAAGGCTACATAAATACATGGTAAAGCTATAAAGGAAAGAGAATGAATATTATAAAAGTCCGAGTGAGGCTTGTGGTAGGAACATCTGGTGTGCCCGAAGTGCTTGTATCTTAAGCTAGGTGATGATGAAAGCAGGATATACTTTATAACTCTGTCAACCCATATGTGTTTTGGGTTCTTTTATGTGCATGTTATATTTATAATACAATTTTAAAAAATATATCACATCCTAAATAAAATATCATCCCACTACATAAGGATTCCCTAATCTCTCTCCTTAGCACAAGGTCCTGCCAAGCAGGTATGATCCCATTTCACATACAGGAAAACTGAAGTGCAAATGACTAAATATTTTATTTTTCCAGATAGGTTGGTAATTGCTGAGGGTGCACTAGGGAGTGATGGAGCTGGAGCCCCCTACCCAAGGCTTTTGGGGTCCTGTTCAGACTCTTTCCATGTTGTTTCTCTGTAGCTTCCACGGTGTCACTATAGCTCTGAATTAAAGTATTCCATTCTCCAGTCCCTGAGCCATACCGCATCACTTACCAGCACAACCCACATCTTTCCCAACGTTGGCCTTCCCATTCCTCCTAGACCCACCACTTCCCATCTCCTTCCCACCTCCCACCTACCTGGTCCATGCTCTATCCCATCCCTTCATCTTTGATTCACAAGACCCCCTATTTGGGCATAAGAAACTGCACGTCACTGTTGTCCCATACATGACTAGAGGATGATAGTGCCACTGTTAAGTCCTGTGCAGGAGGAGGTCATGATGTGCCTCCACCATATTCTGACCCTAACTGTCCACACTGCTATCTGGGCACCTTGTCTGGCCACATCCTCACAGCTTTGCTCTCAGGAGAAGTATGACTCGGGGTCAACTGGAGAAGCACGTGGTCCCTGGGGCAGCATTTACCCTTGCCTGAGGGAGCTGGCCCAGCAGGAGAGAATGCCCAAGTCGGCTCCCACTCAGGATGAGGCCCAGAGAGTTTCGCACCTGCCTGAATTCAGGCGGCCAGGTACTCAGCGTTGGCACATACCACACACCACTGCTCTCCCTTGCCTAGGAATGTACCAGGTGATCGGGGGTATCATCTCTCCTGTCAACGACAACTACAGGAAGCAAGACCTCGTGGCTGCCCACCACCGGGTGGCCATGGCCCGGCTGGCCCTGCAGACGTCCGACTGGGTCCGGGTGGACCCCTGGGAGAGTGAGCAGGTGCAGTGGATGGAGACAGTGAAGGTGCTGAGGTACAGTGGGCATGCTTTTGTGTGATGACCAGGGCCCACGGGACACATCTGCAGAGCCCAGTGGGTGAAAGTAGGGACCAGGTATGAAGTGGGGCTTCAGCCAGGCTTTCTCAGCCAAAATCCCAGAAGTGCTTCCTCTCAGACGGAGAGAGACCCACAGACCTACTCTCAAAGAGGGCCTGAGTGAAAACAATCACAACCCACTGCCCTTCGGGAAGCACTTTCTGGAAACGCCCATCTTGTTTCAGAGGGCTGTCTCCTTGGGCTCCAGGGCGACCACCTAGTAGCTGTGAGACTAGGCATGTACTTCTCTGAGACACATTTCTCACTTGCAAAATGGGGACAATAAAACCTAATGAGGACTTTTTAAATGTAAAGAACTTTCCTGTCCTAGAACTCCTAAGACATTCACTAAGTGGGACCTTCTATCATTGACATCATTGACTAGGTTGAAAACTGCATCTACATCATAAGCCATCTTTTCTAATTGTACAAATCCTGGGCTCTATAAATCTCAACTTTTATGTAAAATTGAAAAAAAAAAAAAGGCTATACATCTAGAAAGTTGCTCAGGATCTTTTTCTTTTGGAACTGCTGTTAGCACCCAGGAGAAGTAATTGGCTTTTAAAAGCCCTGGGAGCCCTGCATGTTGGGGCAGTGGGTCACTGACTTGTGTCTGGGAAAGGGTCCTGGGAGTTTGCTGGAGAAGCAGGAAGCCCCGCCCAGCCTGGAGGTCAGAGGGGACGGGGAGGTGGGGCTGCCTGTCACTAACTTGGGGCCTATTCCGCTGAAGGGATTGCAAACTTGGGGCTTGTGTCTTTTATCTATTTGGAAGCAGTAGGACTGTCAGGGCACAGGAAACCCAAGGGACAAGGTCCAATAATTGGCAGGCCTGTTCATCATAAATCGATTTAGGTTTTCATTTTTTACTCATCTTCACAGTCACTTGGTTGAAAACTATTTACCTTTTTCTCATAGTAAAGGTAAACATTTAGTTACATATCTTGGCTCTGATTATTTGCCTTTTTCTTGGGAAAGAACCAGCTAGAAGCATTCAGCAATTCAGTGCTACTTCAGAGCCTCTCGCCAAATTAAGAAGAGCAAATATGAAATGATTGTTAGAATACTTGCACTTTTTTTAAATATAAAGAATAAATTTACACCTAGATCATCCCTTCAGAACAAGCAATATAGCCAGCCCTCATCTATCAAGGATAGCAGAGGGGAAGACACACAAATCCAGCAAATCATTTAGCTTTAATATGTAGTCACAAAGACGTTTTCCTCCTCCACCCTGTGAGAGGCAGTGTGGCCTAGGGCCCAGATTTTGGAGCCCAGTTTACTAGCTCAGTGACTTGATGTAAGTGAGTTAGCCTCTCTGAGCCTCAGTTCCTCACCTAATAAAACGAGGATGACACCACCTACTAATCTGAGGTACTGCCTGAATTAAATGGGATGATGTGGGCAAAATACCTGGTTTATGGTAGGGGCTTCATAACCTTAGCTACCTTCCCTTCATCCCTAACACTGGCCCGTAATTTATCCTCAAAACAGATAAGCCATTCCTGGATAAAAAGGAACCGACCACAGAACTACATAATATTGTCACTGCTTCTGTTGCAAAATGAAGGTGTGAGCTAAGATTTTACTGAACACTTTCTTTTTCTTTTTTTCCTCTATGCTTTAGTTCAGTGCTTCTCAGCCCTGGCTGCACCCTGAATCACCTAGGGAGCTTTCAAAAGTACCGAAGCCTGAGTCTCATCCCAGAGACTGGGATGTCATTGGTCTGGAGTGGGGCATCAGAATTTTTAAGGGCCTCCTGGTGATTCTAATGCGTGGCCGGGATTGAGGCCACAGCCTCAGTCACAAAGTATGTGAATCAGGTTTATGATTAGTACCAAGATGCATCCAAACCAGTGGGCCCTGGCTGTAGGAATCACATGGGAAGCTCTTTTAAAATGCTCATCTCCCTCCCCCGCCATCCCCGCCACCTGCCCTCAGAGATTATGATTTGCGGGTGGGGTCTAGGCATGGGTATTTTTTTAAAGGTTTCCAAATGATTTATTTTGTGCAGCCAAGGTTGAAAATCCACTGATTATACAAATAGACAACACAGTTTTGCCAGATAAGTGATTCCATTTTTTCAGTATTTAGAAAAAATTAGAAAATTTGATTGCTAATGTTTTCCTAAAATTGCCAAAAGCATTTAAGATTGAGAATCTGATAATTGTAAAGTTAGGTGATTTTAGAAGCATGGGAGTAATCCACCCCACCCTTTGCTCCATTTAATATCTTCCTGATAGAGACAGTGTCACTATGATAAATGTCACTATGAAGTAAATTCACAGTAGGGCTCATTGAGGATTCTTTTTCTCCTTATTAGTTGCTTATTTTTACTCTAATTTTTTTTTTTTTTAAATCTAGGCCAGCTTCATGCTTTTAGGACATTTGATAACTTATTTTGCTCACCTTCTCCCCACGCTGTGGGGGGAGGTCATTAGTCACAACGCCATTTGATGTGGTCCATCATCATCACCATCCCTACTGTCGTGTCACGTACCCCTTTGCAAGCATGATCTTATGCTGTCCTCCTTTTACAGATGAAGAAACAGGTTCGGAGAGGCTAAGTTCATCAAAGTCACAAAACAAATAAGTGAGTGGTAGAGCCAGGTCTGACTCTGAAGCCATGTTTATGGTCCTTTTCAAACCAGTGATCTACGGGGGGGCGGGCACAGTGGGGCTGACTTTGTTCCTGCCACAGTGACCCTTTGACCAGGCATCCCTGGAGACCTGTGGGGCTGCGGAGGACGAGAGAACTCATTCCCAGGGTCAGCCCTCAGGCCCAGGGCTACTAGGCACACCGGGGCACCACTCAGGCAGACAACAAGAGGAAGCCATGGCCACTGCCCCACAGAGGCCGAGTGGAGGTCAGTGAGGAAAATAATTATTCATACATCAGAGTTCAGAGAGCCAGCTAATATTCAAAGTAGGGTCAACTTGAAGTAGGAGCTTCAAGGTAAGTAAAATAAAATGACAGTCACCACCTTTACTGATCACCTATTTGTGCCAGGCTTTTTCAGGTAGGTAACATCTAGTTACCTCAGCAACTCTGAGAAGTAGGTGGGTTTAGTCCCATTTTACAGATGGGGAAATGGAGGCTCTGCAAGGGTCAGTAACATCTGCAGAGTCCTACAGTTAGAAAGTAAGAGGTGAGACTCACACCTACTTCAGTCTGATGCGAGATTCCAGACTAACTCAGGAGCGAATCCTCAGACTTGAAGCTTACCAAAACCAAAGCAGACAATAATGGAAACACAGAGTCCAGCTAGGTCCTAAGAAGACTCGACTGAGTCTCTGAGATCATCAGGAAGGACTTTGGACCAGACTTAAATGTATTTATCCGTCCACTCCTTCCATTGTTCCTGAATTCAGCTGACTTAAGGTAAGCAGTTCCTGAGGACTAAGAATATAAGGATGAATTAAACGAGCTCACAGTTCACAGAAGAACAGCTAATATTGATTGGGCCCTTTCTGTGGATGGGCCAGTGCTAAGCCTCTCCATGAATCCTCAGTGCTCAAGGGGTGGGTGCAGTCATCATCCCCCATTCTACAGATGAGGAAACTGGAGGCAGATTACTTAAGGAGCCCACCAAGATTCCACAGCTACTAGTTGAAGCAGAATTCCAACCATGCAGTCTAATTCTAAAGCTTAACCTTTACACTGTGCCTTTGCCCGGTGATAATCAGCACTGGGCCACAGCATTTGGCAGGATAGAAGCGCTTTCACGGTCTGGCGATGCTCGGCAGGGAGGTCGGCATTAGCTTCCACGATGACCGATAAACAGATGAGGTCAGTGAAGCTCTGAAAGTGTCAGTGACTCATCCAAGGTCATACAGCCAAGAAAACCTAAACTCAAACCCACCGAGTCTAGCTGCAAAGCACCTGCTTTTCCTACCAGGCACTGCCTCCTCCCAAACACAGCTCTTGTAAATGTACAGTTCAGTAGGTGGAAGGTGGAAGATTGCATTGATACAAGACGTGACTACCTGTGTTGGATCAGGTATGTCTTGATTTGCACACTGATTGCTAAAAGAGCTAGGCGGAGATGGTGTAAGTCTAACCAGATCTGAAATGCTAACACCAAATGAGACTTGCTCCGTCCTGCCCACTGTTCAGTGCACTTTGCATACAAACTCCTTCAGGCCTCGTGACCTCTCTGAGAGGCACGCACGATCACTATTCCTCATGATGCAGGTGCTGAACCATCTGCACAGAGACCTGTTGACTGCCCCCCTCCCCCCCACCCCGGGGTCACCCAGCTGGCCTGTGGGGGAGCCAGGATTCAGCCCAGGCAGCCTGGCTCCAAGCCAGACTCTTGGTTCTCACCCCGTGGAGTCCTGAAATACTAGTGAGCTGTGGGCCACGCACTGTGTAGTAGCTCACTCACCTAAGGTAGGCGTTATCCTGGCTTTACAAAAGAAAGGTTTTATTTTGAACTCAGGTCTGTCTGATTCTCATAGCCCATGTCCTTAATCTCTACTCAACTTTTTTTTAAGTGAGGTATTAAAAGACAAATGTTAAAAAAGTAAAACTATGCTCATTTCCCCCTTCCACCCGGGCTCACAGAAGGCAGTGGGTGGCCAAGAGGACCCTATCGCATCCGCTTTCCATCCCAGCCCCCAGCACATAGTGGGCCCCCCACAAACATTTGTGGAACAAGCTACCTACCTAAAATGGACAAAAGCAGGTGGAGAGTTGAAAACTGAGAACCCCGGGTGGCTTTGGGGGGGGACGGACACACCCTGAGCCCGTGTGTTTGCAATGCAGGCATCATCACAATGAACTGCTCAGATCTCTGCCCCAGACGGAAGGCCAGGACCACGGCAGGGCTCGCTCCGTGGCCCCCACAGGTGGGTGCGGACCCTTTTGTCCCTGGGAGGGGGAAAGGTCAAGGATTCACCGGACCCACTCCCAAGCACGGATAAGGATTCTGAGGCCTGCCTGGGGGTGGTGGCACTTACCAGGTTGAAAGGTCAAATTCAACAATCCGCCACCATCCCTTGTAAATCTGGTTGCTAATTTAGGATTTTCTGCTCCAAAGGGGTTTACCTACCCTTGTGACTTGTGCTTGTGACGGGGATTACAGTCAGGGCTACACAAGGATAAACCGGTGAGTGATGCTGGGTTCTTTTAAAAGCCTGAGCCTTTCTGAGTACAAATATGCCACTCTGACCCTCAAACAGAAACCTCTTTTTAGGGGAATTTCATTCCATATGGAATGTCCTTTCAATTTGTAACCCTGGGTTTCTACCCTGTTGTCAACTCCTGGTATTGGTAGAATCTTATAAGTTGTGGCTTCGAAGTATCTTCCGTCTCTAATGGCAGCCCTGGTACTAGGGGTCAAGTGCACAGGTCCCTCATGCCAATAAACAGGAGCCCCTGGTGATGCAAGGGCAGGATGTGACATGGTCTGAGAATCACTGGTCCCGCCTGGCTGAAATCCAGCAGGCCCATCTGTGGGGTTTCCTACTGCCGGTCTCCCAACTGTGGGTGATGGGATACCAGTTCCAGATCAGAAGGGCTCAGGAATGTCACAGGTAAACCAACCTAAAATGGTTCCTTTCCTGCAGGACTTTTCAGAGCCTTTACTATGATCATGTACATTGTGACTCTCCAAGAAAGGGAACTAGCTTGTGGCCATTATCACTTTTTAATCATGGGACCCTTTTCAACACATATTGGTGCCCCCTAGAACACAGTCTCCCCCCCCCCCCAGAACACAGACGCTCTTCTGAAAGAACTCGAAAATGCTACCAGGCCCTAAAGGTTTCATGCAGCAGTCCCCAAATGCTGGTCAAAGGATCACTCATGGCAGAATCACCTGTAAGGTGTATAATAATTCCCAGGCAACACCCCACACCTTCTAAGTGGGAATGGGGCCTGGGACTCTGGATATTTAACAGGCACGCTGGGATTTGCTTTCTAGCCAGTTGCGGGGACTGCACTAGAGTAGGAATCTAAGAAAGGAGGAGTTACAGCATCTCCTATATAATCAGCTTTACAATGTTCACTGTATTCCTCTGGTCTGTCTGCCTCTCTTCCCCCGTCTCCCAGTCATGAGCACAGGCAGCGTTCATTCTCAGCCTCTGCCTTCTTTCTGGAGCATCTCTGGCTCAGCAACTACTCCTACAGAGTTAAGAGACACCGATGATCACCTTCCCAGGCCGGGCTCTGGACTCAGGCGGAAAACAAAGATAGCCTGCCCCCACCCCCCCTCCCCCGGCCCCCGACCTAAGGCTAGAGGCAGGCTGTGAATGGTGGGGAGTCCAGGCATGGATTAGAAAGGCTGCCTGGAGGGGGAGACACTATTACCAAGACTCATAGGATCAGAGTACCTTATCTGGGATTAGGGGCAATTTCTGGGCAGAGGGGCAGCTGGGCAAGGCACAAAGGCAGGAAACCACATAGGTACTGGGCATTCCTTGCTGCTGGGGAATGCTGGAGATTCCAGTGACAGGCAGGGAGCCTCTAGTGATGTGGGAGGGATGCCACACAGAGGCTTCCAGCCTCTCATACTTCCCCTCTCTGCACCTGCTTCCAGAATCCCTGCCTCAGCTCTGCCTAGATGTCCCTCCTCCCCCTTCCCTTTGACTCCCCTTTTGAAAACCTATCTGTCCTATTAGGCCCACGTTGGACCCATCTTCCTGTGAAACTAGTACCAGCTACTTTCACGGAGATGGGCTCTTCCCCTCCCTTGGCCAAAGCTCACCCACATTCTTTTCAAATTTATCTTTCTAGGGGCTACTCTGCTTGGCCCTATAATGTTGGGAGTTTGTTCTTTATCCCCTTTCTTGCTATTCAGACCCTGAGTCCTGCTCATCTTGTTCTCTCCTAAAGTCGCTGTTAAAATAGAGTTTATGTTGAATGAAAAGTGGGCTTTTCAATTTACCAAAATACATTAGGGGCTTTAAAAATGCTCATGTCCTTTGCTTGATATATTTCCCTTCTAGGAATCAGACTGTGGAAATAATTAGAAATTGGGACAAAGATTTATGTAGAAAGATGCTTATCACAGCAGTTTTTTTTTTTTTTAAAGATTTTATTTATTCATTTGACAGAGAGAGACACAGCGAGAGAGGGAACACAAGCAGGGGGAGTGGGAGAGGGAGAAGCAGGCCTCTCGCCGAGCGGAGAGCCCGACGCGGGGCTCGATCCCAGGACCCCGGGATCATGACCTGAGCCGAAGGCAGACGCCTAACGACTGAGCCACCCAGGCTCCCCTATCACAGCAGTTTTTAAGCAGAAAATAAAAGCAACCTCCATGTTTAAGTATAAGGGAATGTTTAAGTAAATTATTCTGTATACATAGTATGAATAATTGAGACAAAAGGTTTTTGGAGAAAGCCTTATGAGGTAAGTAGAAGAAAATCAGGATATGATCCTGTGTATATAATGTAAAGTATATTAAAAAAATGTAAATATACTTGCACATCTATTTGCATGTCTAAATCAATAGAAAACAAAATACATGAAAATATTGAGTTTTTGTAGAAAGCAGAATTGTTTTCTACCTTAAATATGTATTTTCCATACATTTTATAATTGACACAGATTTCACGTTTGTAATCAGAGAAAAAAATAACACTAGAGCAATTAAGAGGAAGGTGGAGTTCTTCCTCAGCATAAATCTGGCTTCTGACCAGGTGGCTTGTATGTTACAGTGACGTATTTGTAAAGGACCTTTTTGTGTGCTGTGTATTTCATTGCGCGCTCGTCTCCTCTGGGACTGCAGATTACGGGCTGAGCTCAGCATGTTCTGGCAGTCAGAGCCCGGCTTTGCCCATCACTCCTGTGATTTTCGGTCCTCCTTGGACTGACCCAGTCATGCAGACAGCCCAGTTCTGGGCTGCTTGGGTGTGACACTTTGGGATGGATGTTGCCTCGGTCGGTCCTCTAACAGCTCGACAGTGTGTGTCTTTTGTGCAGGTGGTCCCTGCCCTTAGCTGATGAGGCTGAGCATGGCTCAGCAGCCTTCCGAGGATTCCCTTTCCACACAACCAGAGCAAGCACAGCCCCCCCCCACCGCCCGATTCCATCTTGCACTGATCTGTTCCACGGTAGCCTTGTCTGGTTAAATTGGGGGCCTCCCTTTAATACCTGGCTTCAGCTCTGGTGTCCTGTTCACCCAGAAGTCTCACACTCCTGAGTGTGTCTTCATGGCCACAAATTCACATTGCATTCAGTCTGTCACTCAATTTCCAGAACTTCTACAGGAGGTCATCCCCATTTTATAGCAGAGGAAGCCAGCCCGGCTGCTAGAACCCTGCCAGGCTTCCAGCAGCTCTGAAACTGGAACCCAGGGCTGACTGACCACAGGGCTGGGTGTTCTTGATATAAAGAGTTAGGGTAACTGGACATCCAAAGAAAAAGGTCCCAGTGGCACTTCCCTCACTTGCCATGTAAATCTCTGCTTTTAAAGCCTGTGGCTATTCCAAGAAAGCACACTGTCCCCCAAAATGCCCACGGATATCTGATGTATGTCACTACATCGTGGTTAAGACGAATCAGATCGGCAGCCTTTATTCAACACCTCAGACTTACGTACTTGGACAGTCAGTACCCAGTGTGAAGAGTTTGTAGCAGTGATGTGAATGGATTTGAAAGAGCTATGTAATGGTCTCTGAGGACTGCCCAGAGTGGGAGTCTAAGGCACGTGTTGCCAGAAGTCATTACCCCACAGACATGCCTTTGATTTGGGGGATGGGAAGGTGTGAGCACTTGTCCCCTGTAGGCAAGAGCTCACGGTGAATTATATTCCTGTCACTGTTAATAAATCAAACAGTGTCTAATATTGAAGCCGTTGTGTGGAAACTGCCTGCACAAAAATCAACTGAGAGAGGAAGAGGGTATCTTCTGTTCTTTGACCATGGGCATGGGAGGAGGGTGTGCTCCAGGCCTCAGGAGACCCTACAATTAAATGCCCATTGTTTAACCTCCCCCATAGGAAGAGCACATAAAAATCATCCATTAGTTTAAAAGGTCAAAAGCTGGTTTCTTGCTATATTACAATGGTTGAATAAATAAGATACTGGAGTAGAACCTTACAGATGCAAAACAGTCCAAATCCACATACGTTGTGAGCAATGGGACCAGCCCAAAGTAGTAAAAAGTGTGAGTTATTGAATAATTTTTAAACGCAGTTTTATTGACTTTAAAAATACTCCCTAAGTGTGGGCGCCTGGGTGGCTCAGTTGGTTAAGCGACTGCCTTCGGCTCAGGTCATGATCCTGGAGTCCC